AAAAAAAAAAAAAAAAAAAAAATCCCTACAAGAAAAAAAGTCAGTTTCAAGAAAAACACAACAATTTTCTCTCAAAGATCAGGCTTTTTGTTAGGAGCTTAAAAGTATGCATAAAACATAAGAAGACAGTCTTGATCTAAACATGGTGGTGCTGGCCTGTAATCCTAGCATTCTAGGAGGCTGAGGCAGCAAGATGACAAATTCAAGCCCAGACTGGGCAATTTAGAGACTCTGAGAGATTCTAAAATAAATAGGGATGGGAATGTAACTCATTGTGAAGGTCCTGGGTTCAATTCTTAGTATGATGAAGAAGCGGGGAGGGGGGGGAGAGAAAAGAAAGAGGGCTTGGAGAAGTGATTCTTCAGAAGTAGAAAGGGGGAAAAAGGGAAAAAGAAATAACCTGAATAAAATGCACAGTGAAAGGAAGAAGAAACAAGAGTAGAAAATATATCATCTTACAAGAGAAAAAATGTCAACCTGTAAAGACCCATCATTTCTCCCCCTTCTGCCTCCCACCTCACCCCAAAGCCCCCTAGTAATGAAACAGCACAGTGATACATGGAAAGAAGAGATGCTCTTAATTTTGAAATCTTGAAAACTACTTACCAATTTTCAGCTGTGTTCATAGAAATTCAGAGATGCAACCAATCTTCATCTGTCCCAAGCTACCATTTAAAAAAGAATTGAATATCATGTACAGGTACAAATTTCCTGTGACGAATGTTATCAGTATGTATATCTAAAAGGTACCAATAAATATTTTGCTTAACAAAAAAATCAGAATATGAATATCAAAAGAGGATGTTTGATGGAAATTTCTACCAATAAAACAAACAGAAACGAACTACAATAAAACACTTCAAATAAAATTAAATATCTTCAAACAAACATATTTAAGGTATTTTAAAAGTACTTCGAAGTAAGGAATAGAATTGATTTTTTTTATTTTTAAAAATGTTGAAATTAATAATACCATTAAAATCTTTCAAAACAGAACATGAATTAATAAGGAAAAATTGATCTAACGTAATTAGGAATGTAAAGTTACCAGATCAAAAAAATGGACCTTCTTAAGTAACAAAAGAAATGTAATCAATAAAAGATCCAAAAGCCTTCTCAGGAGAAAGGAAAATAAAATAAAACAAAATGGGGCCAGGGATTTAGCTCAGTGGTTCCATCACCTGCATCGCAAGCGCAAGGTCCTGAGTTTGATCCCCAGTACAAAAAATAATAATAATAATGTAATTAATATTATACTATGATTTGATATTGTTATCAGATTGACAGGGTTGTGTCCTAATAGTGAAACTATGGCTTAGAGAAGGTAGAGTGAAAGCAAATTTATTTAAAAGATATAAAGATAAGAAAGCAAAAGATAAGAGCAAAGAAGTAAAGCTCCCGCTAACCAGGAGGGGGTTTTAAGTAGGAAACCCAAGAAAGACCCTTTGTCTTGGAGTTTTTAAGTGATTTAGAAGTGAGTTTAGGCCATTGCATAAACACATAATCTCTACCCCATAAGAAACTACATGTTTGAGGGGTTCAATCTATAGTGTTCATGTAGTATCCATGCAGAGCCCATGTACCCTTGAGCCAATGGCCTGCTGATCATGCTCTGGAGCGATCACAGACAGCCCAAAGACACCCGGCAGATGTTTTTGTAAGATCTCTGTATGGCTATGACTCAGGGGACTCCATTTTGGGTTTCCTGACTTCATTTTGAGACCACTGGCCTTACTAATAGAATCTTAATTCTTGTCTTACTAATCCTGTTATAGTATGACTGAGTTAAAATCTATCATAGCATTAATGGCAATAAAATTAAACATGCCTAACACACTATTAAAAAAAACGAATTTTCAGTTTAGCTTACAAAGCAAGATGCAACTGTATCCTGTGTACAAAAGAAACCTTTAAAGTATTAAGAATGAAAAAAGAAGATTTTTGTTAGTTTGTTTGATTTGTGTTTTTATTTTTTGTTTTTGAGGCAGGTCTCACTACATAGCACAGCCCAGGATGGTCTTGAACTCATGATACTCCTTCTTTAGCATCCTGAATGCTGTGGTTAAAAGAGTGGCACTGTGCTGGGAAAGAAGTAAGCATATTAATGATAAAAGCCTCAGTAACAAAGAAGATAGAATACTTAAGAATATCTATGCACTTGATACTGCTACAAAAGACCTTCATAAAGCAAAAGCTCAAAAAAATGGAATGACACATTCTAGTAATTCTAGGAATGAGAAGTTTAATATATCACACAGAACAAAAAAGACTGGGTAATAACAAATAAGGATATTGATCTTATGATACATATTGAACTTCACACCCTAATAGAAGGCAAAACTTAAGTGGACATGAAGCATTCACAAACATGAATCATGTATTAAGTCACAAAGTAAATATGAGAAAAGTAAAACTATTATAAAAATCACTTGTTTTTTTGGTACTGGGTATCAAACTGGGATCCATGTGCTTGCAAGGCAGGCGGCGGAACTGCTGAGCTAAATTCCTGCCCCCACCACAAAAAAACCACTTTTTAATAACACTACAATGTATTAGAAAGTATAAACAACAATGTTAAGACAATTTAATCTTGAAATTACAAAATTTTGAAGAACTCAATCAAAAAGAAAATTGCAAAAAATTGCAAAATTTCTTTTAACTTTAGTAGCATAAACAGGTCTATTAAAGTTTATGAAATATAGAATAAACAGCAAAATTCCTAGACTTAATTACATAATATTAATAGAAATTAAAATATAAAAATACTTCCCAGCAATCAAATTTTGAGAAGTATAAAGATAAACTAAGAGAAAGCACAAATAAAACAATAAAAACAAAAGTAATTAAATAGGTAAAGGAAAGAAGAACAATATATCTACATTGAAAAACTGAAATCTTTTGTCAAAGGAAGATTTTTAAAAAATAGAAAAACACT